TTTTTCTGTGATCTCATTATGATGCTGTCTATCAAGCAACACAGCTGAAATAGTACAGGGAAAATGCATGGATGGTAAATAAAATGGGCAGTTTAACAATAAAATTAACTTCTTCCTTTTTAGCAAAGATTATGTTGGCTGAAGTCTTAGAAAATATACAACACACAACAGAGAACACTTTCTCACAGTGTATACATAATGAAAAAAAAAATGAGGAAAAAAAACCACCAGAAAAACAAAAGGCTTTGTTCTGAGACTTGCTCTGATATGGGGCTGAAATAATGCCTGCAGGTTAAGAAACAGATCCTGAAAGAGGGTTGAGAGCCAAATCCCATTACTCCAATGGGGAAACTTGCTCACTGAAGTAAACGGAACCCTGAAATATCCTCATGCAGTCAAATTCATCATCAGCAGGATGGATGGGGAAACAGACATAAGAGGGGTGAGTTGGGATGACACACAGCAGATCTCAGTTCTGAAGGTACAGAACCAGGCTGGACACAGCAAGAGGACATATGGCGTGTTTCATTCCTCATTCTCCTGCTCTAGGAAGGATAATGTTGCCCAACAGATATGTTTGTTTTTCCAATTGATATTTCTGTGTTTTGTGACAATATTTATGTTTCAGACTTAACATTGGACCTATGCTTATGGACTGGTACATGATTATCTGGGGAGAATAAGGCCTGGACATTCACTGTTAGAACATAATAAGTCAATAAATGTCACCTTCCACTCCAGTAATGAAAGCAGGTTTTCTGCTCCTAGAAATATTTTGTCAAGATTTGTCTTTTTTTTTTTTTTCCTCCAGGAAAAAGAGTAAACTGGGAAAAAACAAATCCTCAGAAACTTTCCCTAAATAAACTATATGATAAAAGAAGCTCTGATGATCTCTCAGAGATTGAAATAATCCATTTTCAGCTGACACTACCCATAGCAAGGAAACCGAAAAGAGGGCTGGAGTCTGTCTTGTAATTAACATTAAACAGATAACATATTTATGAGGAAGTCAAAATATTTTGGAAGCCGATAATCCTGTAAGCCTTAACATGGTATAAAAACAACAAATAAATGCAAAGTGTTACTGTTACACATGCCTGCCTGATCAATGGTTTTCACATATTGATCTATAAATGGAGTTGACAGTCTGTGTTGGCTGCACATTTTCCAAGCAGCTCTATTTTTGTACAAAACCAATACGGGCAATTACCTTTGTTTGAGATGCCAAGTCTTATCAATTCAATGTGATTTAGTGTCATTTTAATTAAATATCAGGATCTACTTCAGGACAATCTATACAAACAAAGCCTCAAACTTGACTATAAGCTTGATTTGAAGTAAACATGTACAAGCCCCGAGATTGTGAAATATGGCTCAAAAACTCTGCTAAACAGAAGGCTTATATTTTTAGCAATTTTATTTCTGTCTTTTTGGCTAGCCATAACTTTGGCAAGTGTGCTACAATCACAGGAGTAAGAAACAAAGGAAGATTGCTTCCCACTCCGTGATAATGTATTAGAGGGAGAAATCAACTTACCAGTTTGTTTAACCTCATCAGAAAAAGCTCTAAAACATTACCATTTTGGAATGTCTAAATAGGCTCTAATTCTTAATACAGGCACCAATAAAAAAAGACGTTTCATTGTTTGAAGTTGTTCTGAATGAAGCAAAATGCACTTCCCTGGGGTTTAAGAGACGAAAATAGCAAATATTCATTTACGTTCTTGGTTCAGACACTAACATTAAGCACAGAAAGAGCCCTTGCTTACCACAGTGTGTGTCCAGCTTCATGATTTATACTCTTTAAACTCTATGTTAATATCCATTTCAACCTTTGCACAATGCTCAAGCATTTCCATAGCAAATAAATAACAAAAATCCCCGAGAATCCACATTTCACTTTTGCATGAGTTAGCTCCTGCCTCCCCAATTTGCATCTTTACAACCACAAAACGCATAAGTGCATATGGCCCCGCTGATGTATGATGCATATCCTTCTTTGTCACACTGCCGAAAATAATCTGTCCACCTTCAGAAGTATAGCCCCAGGTGTGCTTAGGAACATCACAGCCAACACTGTAGAATACAGCAAATCCCTTTGAGAAAACTATGTATTTTCTTCTCCATAAATCACCAGCGATCTTTCAAGATTTGCGTCTGGTTTTTTTGCCCTTTATGCCCAGAGTGTTAATTTTATTTTTTTTTCCAAGCCTGTTTTATAAATATATAGTTCTGCTGATTGTTCAAAATGTGCCAAATGCTGATTGCCTTAATCCACCGGAGTCAGTGTGTTTTGCATAAGTTAGGTAAAGAGGATTTGACCCATTTATTAATAGAATTATAGTAGGCATATTCCTAATATGGGCAGAGACAGAGTAACATGGATTCCTTTATTCAGCTCTGTATAGGTGCAGAAATAAAAATCTCCCCGATGATAGGACAAAAATACACAGTCGGTGTAAAACGGAAAATAAGCAATGATCAGTGGATACTTTATAATAATCTGAACGGAGGCAAGCTCTTCAAAAATTGAAGATTTCCAAACAGAAAATCAAGATAGATCCTTTTTTTTTCCCTTCTAGCACAAAATAATTGGCTTAGCCTGGCACACGAGTAATACACATCTTTCAGCGGGGGTCTGCCTGCTTCCAAATGCAAAAGTGAGGTTTGTGAGTGTACCAAGAAAGTATGTCATGAATTTTTAAAGAGGATTACTGAATTTGAATGTACCTGTGTACATATGTGTGTATAAGCTGAGCCCTGCTCTTTCCAGACTCCTGGATGCCAGGGACTGCTCCCCCCCATTGCTTCTCCCTAAATCCTTCCCAAGTCGCATGCACAGATTTGCTGGCATGCAGTTGACACATGCAATTGAAATTTCAGTGGTCTTTTAAGTCAAATTGCACTGCGTATTATGCAAGTATTTGAAAACATAGGGATCCATAGGAATTTTGCTTTCGGCTGGGGTGTCACCAAACAACTTTAAGGGGCTTATGGAAGCAAATACGCCCACTTTCAGTCTGTCAATATCTAGTCAGAAAATTCGGCGTGGCAAAAAGAGATGAAAAGAATCGAAATAGAAAGGGAATTAGTAGCATGGCAAGCATTCATTCTACTATATTGGAGCCAAGATTGCTGGGTAAAATGACATATACATAGTAAAACTCTGCTTTTAGATAATTAGCTACTAAACAAACGCGGCACAAAGCAACTTTTCAGCTCTCGGCCAATGAACAGATATCGTACCTGCAATAGTTTTTGGGATGTGGTGGGAAATATTTATGTCTCATTTAACTTTTTAGAGTCTTTGCTCTGTAACAGTCCTGCATACTATCCCCAAAACTAAAGTTATGTAACAAGGTAATATCAACAATGAGAAACTGCATGATAAAATCCTGCCCAAAAGTGAAAAATGCTAATTTTGTCTCATTTAGCAGCTGGATACAGAAATGCTCATTAGTTTTAAGAGGGTTAATCCTTTTAACTTTTGCATATTGATATGCCAATTATGCCTAATTGTACAAGAGGCATCAGTCAAGGTAATAGTGCATAAACACATGAAAGTTATTAAGTACATCCCAACATGTAATAAAGTAGGTGTTAATTGGTAGCTGAGTTCTGCAGGCTATTGAGGTGGATAATTCATTGAGAGATGGATCACTTGTAATTTCTCTACATAATTCCTTTTGCAGTCTCATGCTGTGATGTTTTCATGCTTGTCAAAAACAACTGCAGCCTAGTGCCTTTTGTTAAACACAGCCAATAAAATATGTTAGGCATCATTAAATATACTTAACTTTTAAACTTCTTCAAAGGTACAGTTCTTCCCGATAATACATTATAGTATTCCCAGTAAATTACTATAAACATCGTCTCAGGTCTGTACTGGTGGAACATTTTGCTTTGGATAAAAAGGAAGAAACACGTGCAACGTGTTGTGGGAAATTCAGCTGATCAGAAATGATGCATATAAAGAGATTTTTTGTTCTTTGCAGAAATATATGTCCCTAAAATAGGTTCAGGTATAGCAGAGAAACTCGGGAATAACAAATGTATTTCTAACAAAGTTTGAATTTTGAGTTTGAATTTAGAAAGTAGAAAATTCAGCTGCTATAATTGACTTTCTCCACTTAGTAACTTTTTGAGAAAGCTGATTATTTCATTGCAATGCAATATATGAACAAAACAAAAATTAATAGCTTACATGGTTGTGAAAAGTGACCGAGACTTGGGACTCTGTCCCCAGCCAGCAGAGTTTTCTCCCTCATTTGCATTCTCTGAAAACAAAATGGATCTGGAGTCCAAAAAGTGACTAACACTGCATAAATAATTTTGTAACATTATATGGCCTCAGCTGCAAGTTGCCTCTATTATGGAAGGAAATTAACCAGGGGAGACTCATACCAATCAGTTTGTTTAGTAGCTCAGGAGGAGTACAGGGGCAGGGACACAATTGGCGGAACAGTTCATTGCTAACTACCTAATTTCAGGGGGAAAAAAAAGGTAATAGATAAAAAAATGAGTCAGCTCTTTCAACTCTGTCGACTATTAAAATATTAAGGTTTCTTCAGTGCTTGATTTTGCAGCTAATTCATTCTTACAGCAAGCCTCATTCTTCTTACTGGCAAAGTTATCCTTTATTTACAGAACTGTAATTTCCTTTTTTTCTTTCTTTCTTTCTTTTGTCTGGTTTTCACCTGTTTAGAAATTGTGACATATCTCTGATACTGTAAGTATTATCCCCTACAGCAGCTGTGTTTAAGTACTGTAACACTTGAGAGTTCAAATGTGGTTATTCTGGCCACCTAAGCCAAATTCTGTGTTTCAGCAAAGGAAAATTGTTCTTCCAGTGCCTAGCCATACACTTAAAAATGTAATAGTGCCATTAAATCCCATTGTGCAAAGGACTACCATGAAGCTGCCATCTTAACCACACCCAAGATAACTCTGTGACTTTTAAAAACTTGGAAGACATGAAATACGAGGAGTATTTTACTTACAGGCTCAAGGACTTTCACATTCTCAGACAGAATCATAGATTTGCTTTGGCTTAGTCTGTCATGGTGACTGTTGGCATTTTTGATCCTCATTTGAACAGCTCCTGTACTGTGGGAAGGATTTGACTTTTCAGAGGCCATGTCAGAAGTTGCAGACCTTTCCATGGCTACCGGGTTGACCTGAAGAACACAAAATGAGAGTATTAATCAAGAGATCCTTCATGCAAAAAAGTATCTGTGCTGCTTATACGTTGTCACTGTAATCAAGAGAAGTTATTTTGCTGGCAACTTCTTGATCATCTTTGAACACCGGGATAACTATCAGCTGTGTCAGTCTGCAGTTCTATTATTGTCCTTATCACTCACCCATTCAACTGCTTTGGAAGACTTGGTTTATGTAAAAGATTATCCTTATCTCGAAAGCCATTCTCCTGTGTGGTATAATCTCCCTGCAAGCTTCTCTCATGTCCAGCTGGCAGCCACTACACTTTGTCTTTGGCCCTGCTCATACCACACATTTTAAACCTTTCAAGGGAAAATGACATGTTTTGGAACCAATTAACATATCTTACCTCCACAGTTTGATACATATACATTGCAAGTGCACTAATGAATCACGTTACAACTAACTCCACTAGCAAAAAAAACCCAGACACTTCATTTTTAACTATTTTAGCAGCAGCATGGATGAGATTTTTGATTCTGCTCTCGGTTTTAGAATTTTGAAACAAGGAGATGGTTGGGCACACTGGCTCTCATGCTTCAAGAGCAACAGTTGGGAAGCAAGGCCTTCCCAACCCCTGAAAACAAAACTCCCTGATTTCACAAAAGTCTATTTCTAAGAAGGCTTCAGAGCAAAGGAAGATAAGGTGACAAGGTACTAGTGTACATGAGAAGTGCTACAGCATGTCCTACTACAGTATGGACAAGACTACAGGACATTGTTGTGGTGGGAGGACTCAGATCTTATACCTTTATCCTCTCCTGGTCCTAGTAAATCATTTTCTTCCAGAAAATACACTTCAGCTACAGATGTGGAAGAAAATAATAAAAGGTCAAAGTACAGCAAAATGGCTGAGGCTGGGAGGGACATATGGAGGTCATTTGGTCCAACCTCCAGCTCAAGCTGGATCACGAAAATGCCCAGAACTGTGTCCAGATGCCTTTTGAATATTTCCAAAGGGATTTAAACCTATACAAGCTGAAGATATGGAAGTATGAAGAAACACAGCTCTCTTGAATAGAGTGACGAGAAGATAGTGCTTCAACATTAGGCATCATTCACCTAAAGTTACATGCTGTGACAGAAACACTAATTTCCAGGCAAACAGCAAAACTCATGCTCTTTGTTTCCCACATTGAATTAGTTATGCAAGAATCCCTACAGAAGTTGAACCATGAAAGGAGAGGAGAAAATACTGCTAAAACTTTTACCTGCTACTCAGTTGTATTCAGATCTATTTTTGCTGCAGTACTGATAGTAGGACAACCTACTGATGTGGACCTTTTGGAAATGGCACTGGGTGTTCTTCCTCCCTGAGATGCTTCTTTGCACCCATCAGAGCATCCACTACTCAAAACCTTGGTGCAGAGATGCTTTGCCATTCTGGCAGTCAGATCTGCAGCAGTTATATGCAGGAAAACATTTTTCCTTCCTTTGAAACTTGGAGAGTCAAACCATTCTGTATTTCATGTTGGTGTCAAAGCAAAATCACTTCCCAACAGATTTTCTGAAGGCTCCAGGCTGGAGAGCTGATCAGACTTGAGAGACTAGAGCAGAGCTGGCTGTGTCCCCGCTCCAACGCTTGGCTCAAACACATCCCTCAGACTTGCTTCTGAAATCCTCCACCTGTAAAACTGACATATCTCCTCTTGGGAGTGTTATGGGGTTGTAATTAAGTATTCTCTGTCTGATGTTTATAGTACATGATATTCTAATTAAATATATATATATATTACTATGAGAAGGCCATGCTCCAGATCTTAAGTAGGAGCACCATCAGTAAACTCCAAGTCTGCAAAGACCTCGATTTTAATCTCACTGTACTCCAGCTCATTTTTTCTGAAACTGAAACTAATTCATACACGTTTTATTATAACGTGCAACACCGAAATTACAAGAAACAACACAAAAGAAAAACAAACTCTCAGCATTTCCTCTCTCAGATTTTGTTTGTCTGCATGTCGAGCACAATGAGATTGTGCACAATCTGAAAGGCATAAGGAACAGAAGCTGCCTTATGCTGCTTTGGGATTTCCAGGTAGAAACCTTTTGCTGCCCAGTGTTACCAGCTCTGTGAACCAGTAGATGGCACCCTCAATATGAGCTCTGCAAATGCTCTTGCAGGAAGAATTTGGTAGTAATCAAAATCTGTCCTCTTTTTTTATTATTTCCAGAAAATTACAGAGAGGGAGACAGTCAGCAAACAGACATAACATTAACAGAAAGGAGAGGAAGGATCCTATCTGATGCTTTTACAATCTGATGCTTCCAAACAGTTATTAGCATGGCTGGGGCCAAGCTCAGGCTGGTTTTGCAGGGGAATTTGTTTCCCTTACTTTGGAAGACAGAGCTGCCAAGCCCTGCACAACTGCTTATGAGGCACTTCATGTTCATTATATAATTAGCTAATTTGCCTTTTGGCAAACAGTTAGCATCTGGATATAAATTTTAGTTTTGAAACCTCCTACCGTTGATTTGTTGGATATAGGCATTGAACCAAGGCAGGCTTTTTTTTTTTTTCCTCTTTTTGTTTATGTGGGTTTCTGGAGCAAAGGGGCAGCAGAATTTTATGGATTCACCTCAGAGAAAAGGAACAGGAGAAAATGCTGAAAACCGTCTTAGAAGTACATCTTCAGAGGCAGTGTCAAACAGAAGTAGCAGCACAGATAAGGGTGGGAAAAAGTCAGGAGGAAGTAAAGGTGCAAAAAAAAGGCCCTAACATGATGTTGGATGGATGATACAGGAGAGGAAAAGTGAGAAAGGACATCTTTAATTCCTGGAAAATGAGGAGATCAGATTACTTGTGTAGCAAGGAGAATCAGATAGATGAAGGGACAAACCATGTTTCTATCCTGAAGAGCAAAAACAAGTCAGTCGTACACAAAGCACCTCTTTTGGAGATTGCCTTGGGAGTTCAAATCTTTCAGTGGAGGAAGGAAGGGGCCGTACTGACCATGAGAATAGTAGTCTCAGTGGGTCAGCACTTGGGGCTGCTTCTCCTGGGAAATAGTCCTCTTGTTTGGGATGCTTGGAAGTACATAACACAGCACCTGCATGGTGAATTGGGCTGATGTGAGCCAGAGCTCAGACACCAACTAAAGGTGTCACATGGCTGCCAAATGGTCAAGGGACATTCTACCTATCTGGCAAGTCAATGGATAATATACTATAGCCCTGGTTTCACCTCTGTACACACAGTTTGGAAGCAATGAGCACTGCAGAGGTGAGCAATGGAAAGGTTACAGTGCGTGCAAATCTGTACACAATGTAAAGCCATCCCATTTCTGAGAATCAGGCTTGGGTTGAAAGAGAAATACTGAAGACTTGCAGAGAACAGATCTCTGGCTTCCTCACTTAATGCTAAGTCTTGATAAAACAATTAAAAAATACATTTTCCATAATATTTCTTTCAAAAGCACTGTTTTCACAAAATCTTGTTTGATAGCAGTCAAAATACTTCAATTATTTCAAATATTCCTTTGATGGAGAAAATTTATTTTCTGTCTCTATTACTTTTATAATCACTGTTTCTGAGATGATAAAGGAAGCAAAGTAACACTGTTAACTTTCCAACTAAAGAAAAACCCTTAATGTTTTCAGCTTATAGCTTTCTGCAGGAATTACAGAAGTAAACGATTCATCTCACTGCTATTTGTTTGTCTTTGGTAGCTTGATTATGGCTTCTATCTCACAGTGACAGCCAGCAAGTATTCCTCTCCTGCAGCAGCTCATGGAGCTAGAGCAAGTTTCATACTGCAGTTATCAGGTTTTTAATTCATTTTGACATGTTGCTTTGTCCAGAAATTGAGAGTATATAATGAGCAGGGTGACTGGTATAACCCAGTAACTTTATTTCTTGACTTTTGGTGCAGTATCAGTAATATTTGTACGCAGGTTTTCTGTGAAGCAACACTATGCAATGAATCAGAAAGAAATGCAAAGGCAATTCATCAAGGAACAAGATGATAGCAGTATTTCTATGTTTTGACTTGAATTATTCCTATGTTTCAACGTCAATTCATCTCAGACCAGATATTTATAATGAGTACCATTATCCAAGAAAGGAAAAATATATCTGTGATTAATATAATTTGTTGCATTGTTTTTCAACATTAAGAAATTAAAACCGTTGCATATAATTTTCTGAGTTTATCAAAATCAGCTTTTAATTTCTTCCAGCTTTGTTCCTGGGGACATTTTACAGCACCAAAGTCAGAAGCATAATGAATATGAAGGGTTCAGTGCAACATGAAAACACTTTAAATCAAAGTGCACCTGGTTACATTCACTAATTGCATTCTTTCAGCTGAAGAGCAACACTGTACATGAAGAGCATCCATCAAAGCCTACCAAAATTATATCAAGGAAAAATAAAATTCAGCACCAGAATCACCATTATACTAATCCTACAGGCCTGAAAGGCTTTAAAAACAGAAGAGGAAGTAGGAGTTAACAAATGCAAAAACAAGCTCACGCCACACGCAGTGAGTCAGAGCATTCTTGCGAAGTAGAAAACATATTGCTGTGTCTCTGAGAGAAGTGTTTAAAGTCAACACACCTACATAAATATTTCTGCCATTGGATTTTGCTCTCAGCCTTCTCCACGCTGTACATTATCTCTGCTGAAGTACAGCTCAGGGGCAGGAAATGCTTAATGTACAGCTGATGGAAATGAAGGGGAACAGATGAAACACCTATAGGTAAAGAGAGAGGACAAGTAAACTATGGCACTATTTATTATTTTTTTTAATCTTTTGCCCGCTGTGTTCCACCTTTATTTTTTTTCTTCCAGCCATCTGCAGCATGCCACTCTCACAGCTAACATGTCACACATCTGCACCCAGGGCACAAACAGCAGAGAGAGTCCTGATACCAGCTTAGAAAACAACAGAAAATTAATCGTAGTGAAAATGCAAAGTAGTAGTAGCATTCCTATGCCTTTTCCATTGTAGAAAAA